ATTATAGAGTTCATCAGTGAAAACAAGGAAGAGAATGTGGCGAAACACATTCCTAAACAATACTCATGAGGTGTGCAACATAATGCATTTAAATTATAAAACTAGAGTATTAAAAACTATGTGTTCCTGGCAAACAGACTAATGGAATAGAATATAAATCCTAAAATGTACCCTGGATATGCACAAATATATACAATATAATAAACTGGCACGACTAATCAATGATAAAAGATAGATTATTTAAAAATATAAAATGATTCAATACTTTAAAAAAATAGAAGAAATAATATGTAAATATACTCATTATAAACCTCGCTACTTCAATTCAATAACAGACAAATTAACACATATTCACAGTATATGTGAATTTATTTGTCATTTAACATAGATAGGTTTGTGAAAGGTAAAAGAAACAAACAACCAACAAACAAATTGATAAATATCCCTACTTAAAAATAAAAATATCCGATGTCAATAAATTACATGAATAATGAGAAAGATAAATGATAATTTTGGGAAAATACTTGTAACATACACAAGAAACAAGCTGGATACCTTTAATGTAGAAATTAAATTGAAATATAAATTTTAAATTTGCACTAGATTGTTTATCACATCTCAATTTACAATTGCCAAGACGTGGAAGTAACCTAAGTGCCCATCAACCCACCATGAATGGATTCTTAATGTGTATATGGATACTACAGAATACTATTTATTCAGCCTTAAAAGAAGATGAAGACTTTACATCTTTAGTATTAACTGGATGGAGTTGAATCACATTCTTCTCAATAAAGTATCACAAGAATGGAAAAGCAATTTCCAAATTTCAAAAGCAATTTCTAATGTACTCAATGCTAATATTAAGCCAATAAACCAACTAATACACACCCACACAAGGGAAAAACTCAAATCAATTCAAGATGGAGGGAGGGGGGAGGAGGGAAGAAGAATAAATGCAAACATTGTAACCTAATCATTGCACCCTCATACTAATCTGAAATTAAATAAAGAAAGAAAGAAAAGAAAAAAATTGATAATTTACCAGAAAAAGGATGATTAACAAAATAATGGTCAAAAAACACGGCCAAGAAATTTATAACAAAGAAATATTCATGATATAGAAGTATTTTTATCTATATCAGAAGAGATCAGATTATAAATTAAAACATACTCCATTTTCACCTGAAAATGGCAATGATTTTAATATGAAAACAATGAGGCACTTTAAAGCTGTGAGAAAGGGAAATATATATGTATTGAGATTATATATCTGTTTATTCATAAATGAAAAAAAATAATCTAGGAATAGATGTACATTGTTCAGCTGTCGGAAAGTATCCAGCCATCATCAAAGCTGTTTTTCATATTACATGGCTACATTACTTTCTAAACAGCCCTGTATCATATTCTTGAGAGCTGCTCAGAGAGTGGGTGTTAAGTGTTCTCAGTACAAAAAAACCTATCTCACAAAATAACTATGTGAGATGCTGCAGATGTGAATTAGCTAGAGTTGACCTCTCCACCTGCATACGTCCTTCAAGGTGTCAGGTTTACACAACAAACACATGCAATTTTGTCTGTCCATTGAAAAAATGAATGAATGAATGAATTAGAACAAGGACAAGAAAAGAAAAACAGAATCTAGGATATTCCAACCAAATGTTGTCAGTGGTCATCTGGATGATTAGGTGGGGTAGGGATGCTTTCGTGTGTTTTCCAGATTTTTTTTTTCTCATTCAGAAAAACAAAACTATATCTTGTACCAAAAAAAGAAAGAAAGAAAGAAAGACGAAGAAGAAAAGAAAATCAAACATCTTTCTAATTATTTAAAATTATTAAATTATTTTTTAAGGTCTATGTAACATTTTTTAAAAATTATTTTTTAGTGTTGCCCCACAAACCCGAGAGCAGAGCGGACCTGTCTTGAGGAACCAGGCTGCGGCGACAGGGGCACAGCCTGGGCGGGCACACCTCATACTGAGCCTCTGCAGAGGCGCAGCCCCAGACCCTGAGCTCTCTTGTTATTAATGAAGGAACAACCGGAGACAGGGGAGCTCAGCTGCAAAGAGCAAGAGGCAGTGAGGATACAAATCGGGAGGAACCGCGGCTGACTCTGCAAAACTGTTAAATGACTTTGCAAAAGACCTGTCACAACGGATAAACGGCCTCCTGAAGAAGGGGCTGAGCCTCCCTGCAGTGCACACACAATTATTTTCAGGGATAAGATTGAGAGGAAAGAGGGAAGAAGAGCAAAGCTAAAGTCGCCTTCACGGATCCACAGACATTTCTGAAACCAGCAAAGGGGAAGACCGGAACTGTAGGAGGAAACTCACAACGTCGCCAGCGCCTCCTTCATTTCAAGCTGCAGCCACCGGACAAACATCCACCCTCGCGGCTTTTCCTCCACTTATGAAAGACGCTAAGCTGCTCGGTAGCTGCTGACTACACTCTAATTGTTTTTATGGTAAATGAGGCATGAAACCTATGGTCAAAAAACACGAGTCCGCAGTGTTCAGGCACCCTGCGTCTTCCCACTAGATCGCTCCCAGGGGTGAGTGCTGCCTGTGGGCCGCAGGAAAGCATGTGACCCCACACCCTTGCATGTCTGTAGGGCATACCTTTGGAGAAGAGCCCCTACCCCTTTTTTAATAACTCCTTCAGTGTAACAAAAAAGCATCTTCCTGAAGGAAGCTCTGTTATACTGGAGGAAGAGGCCAGAGAGGAGGGTGGCAAAGATCTCTTTAAATCATGTGGAGTTGTGATGACAAACGTTAGTTACACACCTTGTATTATAATGAAAACCCCGGTGCTAGCAAATTTCTAGGATTCACTCTGCTGCTTATTCTATCTCAGAATTAACCCTATTCATCAGAAACTAATGAAATGGTACTCAAACAGCCTGTTGCTGGTTTCGATTCCATAGATTTTATTTTATTAATTTTCTCTCTCTCTCATAGCTTCATGATTACAACTTTATTGGTTAGAATATTTGGAGATCAAGAGATTTCCAGGGTAATTTTCCTCTCAACCATGGAAACTGCAGGACCTTTGAACAGGAACCACAATAATCTGTTGTGATCAGCTGTCCCAGTGAATAGGAAAACGTACTGTGATACAAACGGCAGGTGAAATGGGCAATCTCCCCCCTCCTTTCCTCTATCAAACTCTACACCGACTGAGTTTAATTCAAATCTATTCAAAACACACATATTAATCACATCCCAGGTTGAGGCGTCCAGCCCTTAGGGAGCTGGTCCACCCACAGAAAGTTCAGAGGTCATGGGAGGGCCTCTAGCATCAGCACCCTTGGACAGGTTACACCTGAAAAATGAACAGTCAGTTGTGTGGGGTGGCATGGCATGGGGTGAACAGAGGCAGATAATACTACTATCTCCTTATTATAACTTCCATAGCAGCCATCGTATTTGAAGTTTGACACCAAATTCTTTAGACTTGAATTAGAAAAGGCATTTCTTTGATAGATTTCTTCTTGTTCCAGTTTACAGGCAACTAATCCTTGATGCATTGGATCAAACAGACGAGCACAATCAATTTGGGGAAAGCAAGCAATGCCAGCTCTGCTCAATCTTCCCTCAATGAGCAAGTTGGGGGGGAGGGGAGGAGAGAAAGAAAATTCAGGCATGCCAATGCCCAAAATAGCTTAGCAAAGGAAAAGAGGAAAAGACAGATTGAAATATATATCCTGGCAGGTGGAAGTGCTCGCTGTCGGAGAGAGAGTCTGCAAACAGCACAACGATGCCAGACTCACTGAGCCTGGGACATTGAGGGGATCTGAAGGGAGCAGGGGCAGAAGAAAGTGGTTATGATGTCAAAACAAAAGAAATCAGCAGCAGTGTGCCTATGGAGAAAAGAGGTCTGGCTATATTTAAGTCTCCATGGTCTGTGATATACAGGCCAGTGCAATGAGCAACTTAATTTAGATAAGTCACAAAAACTCAGGGCCCTCCCAAGCAGTACTAATGTACCCTGCTAGATCTTTCTAGGCTTGACTGGGCATTTGGTGAGAAGTCAAGGTGGAACAGCAGCCTAACAGCGGCAGGAGAAAAGTTAACGAAAAGGAGCTAGAAACAAAATGGCCCCAGTATTAATGGCCTTCTCTCTGCCAGCGGGCATGAAGTGCATGCTGGGATGCCTCCTCACCTCATGGGCCAGCAGACACAGCCAGCACCTCCCCACTCAGCTCCATGCCCCACCCGCCATTGCTCAGAGTGTGGGCAATGACTTAGCCTCCTTCAACTCCTTGGAGCCCACTTGATCCCCTCTCCTCTCACAGACCCTTGATTTCCTCCCTTCTTGCCCTCTGAATTTGTGTAAGCAGAGTCTAAATGTTTGCCTACAAGGAGAGACATCAAAATGGCTCATTCGAATAATGGTTCTCCCTCACTTGACTCCTAAATGCTCCTCACATTCTCAGAAATCCAGCCTTTCCCTGCCATGACCAAGACAGGTTCTCCGAGTCAAGACATTAGTCTTCTTCACTAGATTCCACTCATCTTCTGAGAAGGAGCATTGTTGTTTGAGAATAGGAAGATAAAAACATTTCTTGTCCCTGAAACCCTAGATATGAGCAGTGAGACTGTCCTTTTTTGCTGAGAAGTGGCTCAAAATGTTATCTGTACACATATAAACGCCTAACTGGCAAATATAAGAGCATGTAGGGTGTGCATGCATGTCACTAAGCTGTATCTGCTTTATCATAATCAAATGTATTATTAATACTCATTTATAAATTCAGTTGCTTTATATCTGCATGTCTATGTATAAGCAGACAGCATCCTCCTTGTCTTAAGTAGGAAGTGAGGGTGTCCTGGTCTGCTTACTGGTGGAGCTAACTGCAGTCATCGTCATTTGGCAGCTCTTCCATACGTTTTCCTCTGTAAAGACCCCTAAGTCCACTTGACTTCCGTTTTACTGAGATACTCAGCAATTAGAACACAAAGGTGCAAATTCTTCTTACCCGCCTGTGAGCATCTTACCGCTGCAGGTGGTGATCCAGAGCCTCTTCCTCATCATTCAGCAGAGCCGCAGCGCGGGCCAGGAGCTGATGGCTGCAGCTTGCAGATTTGAGTTCCAAAATGAGGAGGCCCAAGCAGAACATGGCTCCCATCTCCTCCAGTTCCCGGGTACCAAACTGCAGACCCTGCCGGTTGAACAAAGCATCACAGTGACCCCAGGTAATAGGTGCGGAGTGGTGACAATCTGAGATTGGGAAGAGAGATGAAGAGACCCATGGTTGTCACAGACATGAGAATTATTAGTGTTTATCAGTCACTGCCCCAGGTGTTTTGGTGTGTGCTCTGTGGATTGGCGGTTCCCAGTCTGTGTTACATCAAAACACAGCGTTCCCTAGAAGTCCTTCCTGGGCCACAATGAGCTAGGAGGGAAAAAAGGGGCAGGGGATGTGGAGGGAGATATGGAAGTCAGGCCTCTTCCCCCATGGTCAAAGCAGCAACACTACTATCTGTATGTTTACAAGCATTTCACCACTGAAATTAAAGTTTATGACAATCTCACTAAAAAGATACCTTTCTTCTTCCTGAACTTATCAGCCAATGGAGGAGAGTGGGGGAAATCCTTCATATATAAATATTAAAACTGAAACGTAAACACACACACACAATTCATTTAGAAACACCTGTTCAGCTGTGCTAACACTGAGAAAACAAAACTCATGACATGCCCCCCACAGTACAATCTATGACATAACAGATGAAAACACAATTAACAAAATGTTATTGATCACAACTGCATGCCACATACTGCTCTGAGCTCTTTCATATGCATTAACTCAGCAGATCCTTCTCAGAGCCCTGTGTGGTAAACTGTTATTTTCTCCGTCCTACACTGTAAACTTTGAAGGCAGTCTTTGTCGATTGGTTTTAATGCACTTTCCCTCACTTATAACTTGTATTCACTTATCAATCAGGGGCCATTACAGACACAATTTTTGGTTTGAGAACTTTTTTTAGGCTACACTATGCATTTAAATTCTAATCCCAAACCTGCTTAAAGGAGGGTTGTATCTAGAAGCTATGAATGAAGACATAGCTTCATTTTTTTTTTCCTGCTCCACTGAAAGCCCTGGCCAAAACCATCCCATAAGCCCAGTTCAGCCCTTTGCAAATTGTGGTTTTACTAATTCACTGACTACAGTGTTCATCTCTGGAGGTCCTGGCTTTGTGTGGTGATAGCCAGTCAATTCTCAAACCTTGTATGAAACTCTACTTTTTGGTCACCAAACCCAAAGTATAAGTGGATAGAGACGCATATCTTCCCACAACAGCCTACAGCAACATCTGTCAAAATTGAGCTCTTCTTATAAAAGGAGGCATCATGGAATATCCTCTGTATGCACAAAGAGAGGTAGGAAGACATTGAACCTATTAAAAAAAACACTGCAGTGAAAAGGGGGTCATGCCAAAGATACTAAACAAATATCTCCTTAGGAAATAGATTTACTGCCGGAATGGGGAAAATCTGGACAATTTCTTATTTATATATTCAGAAAGAAACGAGAATCTATTGCACCAATGAAAGTATATCAAAAGCCATGAAAAGGGAATAATAAGAGATTAGAAGTGACTGCACTGTTGAGATCGAAAATACAATCTCTAAATTAAACGCCAAAAGGGAGAGAGTTAACAGACTGTTAAATGCGGGAAATAAAATCCATTACATAGAAGACAACTTCAAGAAATTTTCCAATATCTCGAGGGAAAAATGGATAAAAATGCATAGAAGGTATTATATGTAAGAGCCTCAAGAAGACAAACCAAGAGAAGGGGAAGCGCTGACTGCAAACCATACAGAGATAAGAAATAGTTACGTAATTTCTCTTGAAATATTAGCATGGCCTTAACCTCCAAACTGATCATTATAGTTGATCCCCATAAATAGGGCAGCAAGGCAATCTCACTCATGGACAGATGGATAGATAGATAAAGATCTATGAATATGTCTATATTTATAGGTCAGAGAAAAAGTTGCTTATAGAAGTGCATGCCAAGGGTGTCACTGGGAATCTACTAACACAGAAGTCAACATACCAAAAGATCAAGGGGCAGAATAGGAAAAAAGCAGGAACCTCTCTATGGATACATTCGTTTCTGATACAAGCTATCATGGACTAGCCCACTAGGACCCTGTTTGCACCTGAGAGGGGAGCCTGACACGATGGGTGTGAGCACAGGCCCAGTGGCCCAGATTGCTGGGGTTCCAGCCCCACTGCTTTCACTTCTAATTGTATGTTCTTGGGGACGTCCTTTGCTCTCCTTTGATTTTGATTTTCTCGTCTGTATTATGGACATAACAAACATAACAATCATAATAATCCCTAATTCATGGAGCTGCTAAGATCATTTCACTAAACTAACGTATATATGAAAATTTAGATCTGTGCTTGTTACATTGGATATTACTTAAGTATTTATTATTACAATGGCAATAGCAAATGCTTATGTAAAACCAACTGTTAAAATCACACTGGACTGTCATACAGTCCTTGTTGAAACTCTGGTCAACCCTATGACCTGTTCTCATCACCGTTTTTTACCATTATTTGACAACTTCCAGACAATTCAATAAGATAAGAAAAAATGAGTCGCATACATATTAGAAAGGAAGAAATTACATTATCATTATTTGAAGACAAATTATATACTAAAACAAACCAAAGAAATCAAGTGAAACTCAAAATCCATTAGATATAAGGCAACTATTAAGTAAGCAGACAGGTAACAAATTAAATATACAAAAATCAAATTTCTTTCTATAAACCAGCAAAATAAATTATTAAGTATAATAAAAATTCCACTCACAATAGCAACCCAAGTATAAAATATCTGAGAATGAAATTAATAATAAATATCCCAAGGGTTATATAATAAATCCTAGGACTTTGCCAAGAGATAACAAGAAAAATTTAAATAAATACTGGGAAAGCAAGGTCCAGTACCATGCAACATCAATTTTCTTCCTATTAATGTATAAAAGCATAGGAAATCAACACACCAGTGGGGCTTTTCAAACACTGAAAATGAATTCTACTTTCAAAGACTACATGGTAAGAATATCCCAGAATAAAAAGTAAAAGAAATACATATTAACAGGGGTTTTCCCTTACAGATATGGAAAGGCAGCTGTATACAACGATGATTAAATGTTACGGCATTGATGTAGAACGTGGCAGTCAGATCAAAGAAGACAACCAAAAGCCGAAAAGGCCTGAAAATATGTCAAGGTTTGCATTTGATAAAGGCGCCTTTCCGGCACCAGAAAATGAACTATGATGAGGAGAAAGCAAAAGCAATAGGCTAATATTTGAGGGAAAGATCTTACCACACATGTAAAAATTATTTCATTTTGATTAAAAGGTTAAATGTTCAAAACGTTGAATGACGCAAAAGAAAAATATATCAATTCATATGTTTTATCACCTCCAAGGTAGGAGACATTCTTTCAATTCAAATTTAACAGGGAGGAAAGCATATAAGAAAATATGAATGATTGAAGAAATAAAACTTGAATGTCTCTGGATAACCTGAAATAGCGCAAACTCAACTAAAATGAACATAACAGAATCAGCATAATTGCAATGAAGAAAATAAGTTGTTTTTCTTTTTTTGAGTTTTTTAATCATTTCCAAAGATCACGGAGGTACAAATGTTTTTGGTTCCATGTATCGATTTGGTAATGCTGAGTCGGGGACCTCCCAGATGGTGTTGACAGGTAGCTTTTCTCCGGTTCCCTCCTCCCTCTCCACCACCTTGATTTCCACTGGGCTTTAGTTCCTTCTGTGCACATGAGTCCTCGTTAATTAGCTTCAATTTAACAGTGAGTACCTGAAGTATCTGTTTTTTCCTTCTTAAGATACTTAGAATAATGGTCTCCAGTGCCAACCAGCTTGTCGCTTTTGGTGGCCCCGCCCCACCGGCCTGAGCCCCAGCACCTTTCTGAGAGGCACCACTCCAGGCCTTCAAGGCGTGGAGTTCCAGACAGGTGGAACCCCTTCTTGTTCCCCTCTGCAGCTTCCTCCTGTGGAATTTCTGGTGGATTCTGGCACTTTTCCCTCATAGTTACATCTGAGATATGTTTTTAGTTTTGTTTTTGTTTTTGTTTTCCAACTACAACTTTTTCTTCTTTCTAAGATAATTTGTCAACCAATATCTCTAGTCAATCATCTTGTCTCTGGCAAAAATTAACTTGTTTGAATATAAAATGCAAATTAAAATAACAATTAAAATAACATGAAATAACATGTTCTGTATTTGTTTTGTTTTGTTTTCCAAGTAATGGTCTCTTCACTCCCTTGCCCCGGCTGGAGTACAGTCGCATCGTCATAGCTCCTCAACCTCAAATTCCTGGACTGAAGCCATCCTCTGGCCTCAGCCTCTCACATAGGTAGGACTACTGTCACGTACTACCACACTTGCTAATTTTTCTATATTTTTATGGCAGGGTTCCATTCTTGCTCAGGCTGGTCTTGAACTCCTGGCCTCAAGCAATCCTCTCACCTCAGCCTCCCAGAACGGTAGGATTCCAGGCAGGAGCCACTCTGCCGACAATGGCATGATTTATTTCTCAATTTGGGCTATCCTCATCCCTTAAACCCTAACACTCTGCTGGAAAAGGGCTGCAAATGCACTGTCCCATTCTGTCATTGGTAGAAGTACATATCATTGTAGTGCTTCCAAAGGACTCTCCGGAAAACTATTTCACAAACCTTAAGAATGTTTAAACTCTGGGAGCTATCAATGCCAATTTCAGAAAGTAAACTTAAGAAAATAATTGTAAGGTAAGCAACAAAGAAAATCCTCAGTGTGCACCAATTTATGACCAGTCAAATAAACTTGAATATATTCACACCACAGAATATTAACACCATGATGTATTTTGAACAGACAACACCACAGGGATACAGTCATAATACATTGTTACAGTACAATACGCTGGCTACAGTACACTGATGTATCCTTCATAATACATCAGTTTTACTGAAAAAATTTGAAATGGTATATATGCACGAAAATGATAATAGTGGTTGGAATCATGATGAGATTGCATAGACTATCAGACTGAATATTTTCTTTGTACATTTTCCTTATTTTTTTATGCATCAACATATGCAATTGTTTTTGTCAT